ACACCTTCAGGTGGGTCTTAGCCAGCTTCCATTCTTAAAGAGTTGGAATATATATGCGTCAATATACATCTGTTTTCAGGATGAGCTGAAGCATTTCCTCGCTAAACATGCACAGTCCTTACAACCACTAGTAGCTGCTTGGTTTTTTCCCCCAACCTGAGGCATCCTAAGTTTCATACCAAGTGATCAAGGCACATATTTTATAGGAATCATTAGAACTCCATAAGGCATTACCCCATGTTTAAAAATGACACTGTTTTTACCATATATAATCTCCCAGAAAGCTTGAAAGAACCAACATTATCCTTAAATTAAAATGAGCAAATTTTTCAGAAACCCTTGAACTCCTAGCTAAAGGTACTACTCACAGAACTCCTTATGACTATAAGATTCACTCACCTGGGACAAAGGGGTTTTGCCTCCAATGATAAACTCTACCCTGCTATTCCCAGGCATAGAAAAGTACTGCAAAGGACTTGGGTCTAGATCCTTCCCACAGCATCTTCCTAAAGACCCTCTTTGTTATATTAAACCACAGGATTTTGTCTATTGGAAGAGTCATCAGGGAAAGGTTGAACCTCCTTGCAAGGGACCTTTCAAGGTACCACTAACAATCAAAGCACTGTTAAAAAAAAAAAAAAAACTATTGCTAACTCTGGAATAAGTTATTGACAGCAGCTTTCCCAGGGATACAGATCTGTGTTGGTGCGTTGGCACAGGAAGTGATGGGCTGTTGCATTGCTCTGGATTTCTCATTGGCTTGACATGGTGGCATCTGCACCATTGCTGTTACTTCTTTCTGATCTTGGATCAATGAACAGGCTAGACATCACATTAAGGAGACCAATTTGCTCCATTCTTCTGCATGGCTACCATTTCTTATCAGAGATTATGAAGATGATATAACAAGATCATGTGCTACAGTGTACATGAACAATGGAACATTCCCCACGTGGTGAAGACTGCATCTCTAGTGGTCCCTGAATTGGCCAGCCTCTCTCCAGCAAGAGAATACCAGAAGGGGGATCCATAAGCACACAAGCGGAAGATGGCCACACTACTGAGCCACAGGTCTGGCTCACACTTCCACAGCACCATCCTGGAAGCCAGAAGGCGACCTGTGCAGCAGTCATCTCAGACATGGCCTGAACTTGGTCAATCACTGCAGCTCCTCTGTCTTTTGCCCCCACTCCCAACTCAGGACCAACCATGGAAAGTCACATATCTCCCTGAAGCAGTCACATGAGATGTCCTGCTCCCAGCTGGGTCAGCCCAGCTTTCCACGCCAACAGCTCCCAACCTGGGCACACCTGAGCTTCCTTTCATTATTTTTTTCCATTGTAAAGGTGTCTCACTCCCTGCATGCATTTGGATGTCTGCTGCAGGTGATGATGGCTGATGACTTGGTTATAGGAATTTCTGAATCATCTCTGACTGCTCTTATTTGAAAGGCCTTTATTTCCACATGTGCAAAGCCCTTTCTCTTCTAGAAAAGAAAACCAAGTCCCAGAGAAGGTCATTGAGGTGACCTCCAAATGTCTTGGAGTATTTGGCACAGATTCCTGTCCCCCTCTTCTTCCTTAGTAATTGTAGCTGAGCTCACTCCTGCTGTGTTGGACAAAGACTTTGGTTTCCAGTCTCCTCAACAGGGAGTCTATAAATGGGAGTGATACACTGCAGTTGTTTATTGAGGAATGTCTGTAATCTTCATGTTTGTTACATGTTTAATTGAAAAATAAGTGAAGAAGGATTTTTGACTGATTTGTTTGAAGGTGGGTGCTGTATAATAAAGTATTTGGCCAATCCTTGTCGCTGGTTCCTTGGAATTTCCTGAGCAACAGGAGAGCCCTTGGACCATGCATGATATGCAGAGTGGCAGCCTGGCCTTGCCAGAAGTACCAACCAAATGATTAGAGGGTTGGGGCTTTGAGCCATGTGGTATCAGTCCATCCTCTAGGGAAGGGAAGGGGGCTAGTGACTGGGTTCAACTGTGGGGTCAGGGATAGAATCCACTATACCTATGTAATGAAAGTCCAATTAAAACCCTGGACACTGATGCTCAGGTGAGCCTCCCTGGTTGGCAGTACTCTGTGTATTGTCACACATAAGTTTGTAGGTAGCCTAATGTGTTCCTGGGAAATGACAGGAGCTTTTCATTTGGAAGCTCCTAGACCTTTCCCAATCTACATCTCTTCCTTAGGCTGGTTCTACTGTGTCTCTTTCAGCTATCATTAAATTTATGATGACAATGTAATATTGTATGGTGGTGCATATCCATGATCCAGTGACTCCAGAGGCTGAGGAAGGAGGTTTTCAAGTTCAAAGCCAGACTCAGCATCTTAGAAAGGCCCTAAGCAATGTAGAGACATCTTGTCTCTAATAAAAAATAAAAAAAAAAGGTTGGGTTGGGGCTGTGACTCAGTGGTTAAGCACACCTGGGTTCAATCCCTGATACCAAAAACAAACAACAAAAACATGGCCCTTTGTCCTGAGTTCTGAGAGTCATTCTAGTGAGTTATCTAACATACAGGGGTAGTGGGAACCCCTGAATTTGTAGCCAGCTGTCAGAAATGAAGGTGGTCTGGGGACTCCTCAATCTGTGAGGGCAGCCTTGTAAACTACCATGTTTTTAACCCATGAAGTTTATCCCAATTCTGAGCAGTTGGCATCAGAAACTATTACAGTGCAAAATCTAAAAGCACTCAATTTCTATTACACACACACACAAACACACCACACTATCCTAAATATGAAACTATGCTAATCTATTTCTGAATTTGAAAAACAGGAGACACCATTACATTTTTCTAAGGAAATATTTAATTGGCAGTTTTCTAGAAGGAAAGCTTTTCAAGTAGTACAAAAATATGAAACCAGCCAGGTGCACTGAGAAAACGTGGGAAAGTCAAATTCTTTTTCAAAGTAACTCCCAGCTGGTGAGAACCTACTGGAAGCTCCCTTCTCAGAGGAAGCATGAGACATGGCCTTCAGCAACTGATAAGAGTGGTGAGATGATGAAGAGAAATTTCTTAAATGGTTATCACAAGACCAGAGACCCTCTGGAAGGTGTGGTCATTCATTGTGGCTCCCCACACATTAGAGATTTAGTAATTTACCAAAACATTGAATCATCTCCATAATTCAATTTTAGAACACCCCTCCCCCTGTCCCCATAACATTGTGGTCACTCTCATTTGCCATTCTCCAGGACACCACTAAATCTCATTTGTCTCTGAAAAATGTCCTTTTCTGGACATTTCCTAAGGATAAAACCATATAATGTGGACTCTGATATCTGCCGTCTTTCACTTAGAATAATGTTTTTGAGGTTTTTATTTTTTATGACAGCCATATTTTAGTGGTTTTAGTATTAAAATAAGATTTCATTCCAAAAATTCCAAATCTACTAGCATGCAGTTGCAATGGGAATTGCTTCATGCTCAGATACAGACTAATTGTGGCCTCACAGAGAAGGTAATGTGCTACAGAGAAACAAGGACACAGGGTGTCCTATAGCAAGGGCCTTCAGTCTCATCCCCAAACTACAGCTGAACCCACGGGAGGAGGCCAGCCCAGGAAGGTCTGCAGGGCAATGCTCTCTAAAGATCCATCTCCTAGCCTAATCATGGCTGGGCTAGGTCACTGATGGCTGACCACCTGCTCAGCCTTGTCACTCTGGCCCCTGTGACACCCCTCCCCGTGATCCACAGGATGTGGTGACAAAGGACAGGCACAGTTAAACATTGACCTCCGCAGGTAGAAGTCACTAGGCAGGCCATTTTTAGCTTCCTTTCAGCTCATGTGGTGGATTTCAAATCTGAAAGGAATTTTCCTCACCTTCCTTCAGCTCCTAGGGTTTTTCTCTGGGGTGAAGAATTGATGTATGCTGAGTTCTGAGTTATACTAGTGGGTTTTCTCAGTTTTACCAAATTCAAAGAGTTGCTAGGCACAATGGCATGCACCTGTAGTCCCACACACTGAGGCAGGAGGATTGCTGGAATTCAAGACCAGCATGGGCAAAACAGCAGGATCCCATCTCAAAAAAAAAAAAAAAATCTTAATAATACTAACTTCTAGCATGGTAGACTAGGAGCTTGATAGACCCACTTGCATAAAAGGTTCTACAAATTATCCAGTATAACAAAGAGCAGAAGAGCCAGCAGAGGCTCCCCACATGGTCCACATTCCAGGGTTGTAACCAGCAGGGGGAGCTCTCCAGCTTCTGAAGGGATGGCTCCATCCCCGACACCCCCACCCCACCCCGCCAGGGTTCTCTCCAGTATGAATTCTCTGATGTGTAATAAGGGATGAGCCCTGATGAAGGCTTGCCACATCCACACCTCCAGCTTTCAAAGGGTATGTGGTTTGGGATTTTTATTTTATTTGTTTTGATACTGGGGATAGAACCTAGGGCCTCACACATGCTGGGCAAGTGCTCTACCACTGAGCTACCTTCTGAGCCCTTTTGATTTTTTATTTTGAGACAGGGTCTCACTAAGTTGTCTAGGCTGGCCTTGAACTTGGAATCCTCCTGCCTCAGCCTCCTAGGTCATTGGGATAACTGTCATGTGCCACATGCTGAGCTTTCTGTGTGTTCTCTGGTGCTCACAAAGGAAACGTACCACGGGAGGTTCCTCCACAATTCCCACACTTGCAGCATCCCTCTCCACCAGGAGTTGTCTGATTTTTTTTTTTTTAATGAACAGATGTGACCAAAGCCTGTATCACACTCATTACCCTGGCAAGGCTCCCCCACTATAAATGTCTGCTGTTGAGTAATATGTGTCTTCTAGCTGACGCGTCCCTCCTCCACTGCAGTCACATGGCTTCTCCTTAGCACCAGCTCCTGGTGTTTGGTAAGAGAGGGGTGTGACTCGAGGGCTGCTCCACAGTGTGTACTGCTGATAGCAGACAAGATGTCCTCCAGCAGAAGGACCTTACACTCCCAGGGTCTCTGCACTCTGCCTGTCCACCTCAAAGCTGTCCTGCATTCACGGAACTCATGGTGGGGGTTTCCCAGCATGACTCTTCCGGTGTTTAATGAGGGATGCAGGGTGGGCAAAGGCCTTCCCACATGCATTGCACTTGTAGGGCTTCTCCCCGGTATGAAACCTGTAATGCTGAGTGAGGTATGCACTCTGGCTGAAGGCCCTCCCATACTCGTTGCAGCTGTAGGGCTTCTCCTCCCTGTGGAACCTGTTATGTGCGATGAGGGAGGAGCTCTGGCTGAAGGTTTTCCCACATTCCCTGCACTCATAGGGCTTTTCTCCAGTATGAGTTCTCTGGTGTTTGCTCTGGCTAAAGGCCCTCCCACACTTGTTACATTTTAGGGCTTCTCCTGGGTGTGGAACCTGTAATGCAGGACAAGGGAGGGACTCTGACTGAAGGTGTGGCCACACTCCTGGCACTCGTAGGGTTTTTCTCCTATGTGAGTTCTCTGGTGTTTAATCAGGGATGAGATATGACCAAAGGCTCATCCACACTCACTGCACTCATAGGGCTTTTCTCCGGTGTGGCATCTCTGATGACACCTTAATTCTGACTGGAAGTGGAAGGACTTCCCACATTCATTACACCTGCAAGATTTTCTCTCTGGGTGGCTTCCCTGAAAGTTACTTCTCTTTAAAAACTGTCTCAGTTCTGTGTCACATTTATAGGACAACACTGTGTTGGTTAAGGTTGGACTTAAGGACTGGTCTCAAGCCTACACTTCTTCCAAGTCCACTCCATTCTTGATCCGTCCTAAGGATGGGAGTAGATTTGTGAGTGACTGGCATCTCCTTCAGATGTCTCTGTTTGACCTGATGCATCCCTAACCTGTGATCATTGCAAGCACAAGTGATTTTCAGTTTGGAGGATGAGAGCTCATCTTGAATGTGTTTTTACACTGCTGATATCTGGAATAATTCTTTGGAAACTCCCTGACTTGACATTGATTCCTTGGCTTTAGGCCTTCTTTTCTAGTCTGTAAGAGGAAAAAAAAATTTTTACCATTACCTGTTTCATGTGCCAAGAGGAAGTAAACAACAATGAGTGAAAGATGATGGACCTTTAACGATATCTAAAGGGGCTTGCAGATTCTTTCAGGAATGGCTCGTGTCAGAAGATTTGGGAAGTGTCAAAAATAAGCGATGAGCAGGTTAACTGGAACCATGTTCGGGTTCCAGTACACAAGGTTAAGTCCAAAGACTAAAGATGAGAGGGAGACAGGAAGTGTGATGGGGAAGCAGACGAAGTGTGAGGGACAGGGACAGAAAGAGACAGGAGAAATGTAAGGTGCAGGTCAGCTGGCTGCAGACCCCACCCCTCCTCATCTTTTCAGGCCTGGGGACCCGTGGCAGGTGTCTATCCAGTCATTTACTCCAGTCTCTTCAGAGCCCCTCATCACTAATCTTCCTAAAATGTCCCTTTCCTGGCATCTCTCCTCAACTCTTATCCTCCAGAGGCTCTGCAGTACCTACAGGATGATCCCAAGTCACTTCAGCTTGGTGCTTATCCTGTGCCAGCATGGGCTGCCCCTGCTTCCCAGGTATCTTCATCCACCTACTTTTTTCTTCAAGGTTCTGCATGTCTTTCAGAGACAAGCTCATGTCCTCCACAAAGTCCTCCCTTGACACCTCGGTGCACACAGTGCTGTTCCACCAGAGAACATTCCCTGGGTAGGTACAGGTACTGTGGGAGGAGGATTCTGCCCACACTGCAGGCTTGGAAGGTGAAGGAAGGACATTATGACCCAGGGAATGTGGCAGTCTCCAGCAGGCGGAATCACACCCAGTTTACAGCCAGAAAGAGACCAAGAACCTCAGGTTGACAACTGCCAGGAAGTGGCTCTGCCCACACCCAACAAAAGTAAATCAAGTGGCCTTACAATGAATCAGTAAGTTTTGTGAGTTTGATTAGCATGAATCCTTCCCCTCAAAGCCTACTCATTATGCAGTTCTGGAGTCTACAAACCTGTGCATGGGGCCCTTGATCCCAGGTCCCCACTACAAGATAGACCCATACCATAGGTCTCAGCCAGAATTATGCTATCACCTTAGTAATTACAGTACCTCTCATTTGACTCATAATATATGGTAATACATATAATATGAACTAAAATGCAGAATTGGTGAAAGTAGTATAAGTTCTTATTACTTTTACCCTGAAGTACTTAAAAATTAAAATATATATATATATATATATATATATATATATATATATCTCCAAGAATGAGTTAAAATAGTAATTTTAACTTAACTCTTGGTCTTGTTACCCATGGTGGTTTGGTAATGAACTGTTTGGTAAAACCATGACATCAATAACTTGATGTAAGTATGAGCCTGTGATGTTACAAGCAGAGGCTGGAAACAAAATTAGTAGTAAGAGCTGCTGTTACTGGTTATGTTTGACAAAGTATTATAGGGAAAAATAGGAGCTCCAAGAGCGTCCTGGTATGTAAAACAAACCGGAGAGTATCCAGAAATATGAGGACTTATAGGGTGGGAGACTTAACCAATTTTCCTTCCCAGTTGGCCAAAGATAATACACACAGTGGCTTTTGCATGCAAAAGGATAATAAAAAGCCTAATCTGAAGGGCCATCTCATGGTGTGGCTGTCAAACATTTCCTTTCAGCCTCTGAGTCATTGCAGATGGCTCCCAGGAAATCCTCAGTGGGAACAAATTGCTCAGAGTGAAAAAGAAAAAAAGCATGTCTTCCTGGGGGAAAGCCAAGAAGCTCCTCAATTAAGTCCAAACGACAGGCATATTTAAAAAGAACTGTGAGTGAAGCTACTGCCACCGTAAGCCCACTGGAAACAAATACCTAAAAACCTGCTGAAGGTGCTGAGAGATGCATCAGGTATTCATAACCAGAAACCATCCCTGGGCCCTCACCCTGCTCAAGCAGGATGAATAACTGCTTAGTCCCAAGAGAGCTTGTTGTCCAGTGTCATCTTCACATGTGAGATGTGACTATGGAGAATACTGCCAAAGAGACTTTCCGAGGGCACGGCCAGCAGCCCAGGAGAATCACCAGCTGGAAGCGCCACCCAGAGGAGAAGCGGTCACAACCCAGATAGTTTCCCTTCAGGATCAGAGGCCTGCCAGCACCTGCCCAGTGGAATTTCATCTCTGTGGTTCTAAGCTGCTGGGATCCTCCCATGCTTCCCCTTTCTGACCAAGTGTTCATTGTGGTCTTCATGTCGCCCTTGTTAATGTGTTGGAAATACTCATTCAGATAGCTTATCCTTTTATTAAGAGGGCTCCTGATCCAGGGGAGAAACATCTGGATTCAATGCAGATACTATCACATCATCGAGGACTTTAATCATGATCCTCAGATTAGATGGGACTTTGGAGTACTCTCCCTCAGGGAGGCATTTTGTGTGCAGAAGAGACAGAAGTGAACAACTATGAGTAACAAAACAGACAGGGGTATGGCGTCCTGGGTGTCAGCCTTCTCCCACTGCTGTGGCCAGGCCTCTGCTGTAATACCTGTCAGTCATCACAGTGCCCATTAGAGAAATGAGCCAGAGGAAGCCTGAAGGGTCCAAGTGAGTGAGGGATGGTGCAGAACAGTGGAGAGGAGAGAGCCCTGACAAGGCCATCCTCCACCTGCCCGGATCAGCTCCCAAAGAGCAGGAAACTGGGGTCAGTTCCCTTTGTTGAACAAAGAGGTTCTAGAAAGAAGGAGGCAAAGCAACCTGTAGTTCAAGAATTTGAGGAAATTTTAAGAAAACCCCAACTCACCTGAGGCCTACCTTTCAGAAATAAACCGGCTGCTCCCTTTTCTGCCAGGAGTCTCTCAGGGGAAGAGCAGGATCCTGAGAAGTGAAAGCTGGGAAAGTAAAAGCAGCCACAGGGGAGTCTGAGCATTCTGGAATGTTCATCTCCCAGACTCCCCAGGCAGGAGATCCCCTACACAGTACCTCAGGGGTTTGGGGGCCACAGGTAGAAACACAAAGCGAACTGAGAGACAGCCATTAGCCTGTGCACCTCAGAAATGCTCCTGAACACAGCTGTGTGAGGTTCCACCACACCTGTCCAGGGCCCACAACAGGCTGCAGGAAGTTGGAGTGTGACCCCAGGCTGGCCACCCCGCCTGCGCGCGGGCCTCAGCAGGGCATGCACCAGCCCGCTCGCACCTGCGGAGGGAGTCTGAGGACGCAGGCAGTGGGCGCCAGCTCCGGAGGGGCTATGGCTCTGCTCTGCCCCACCAGCTGGGACCTAGGGGCCTCTCCCTTCTCTCAAGTTCTTTTGGAAGCGGATCCCCATAGCCCACTTTGAGACTGTCTTTTCAGAAGCTGTTGGAAATCTGTTGAAAAGGAACAAACGCGAGCTCTACCCTGAGTCTGCGGATCGGATCAGGATTTCCAGGACGCTGTCCTGTTTCTTCTAAGTGTCCAGGCCTGGTGGAGATCCTGGTTGGTGCAATATCAGATAACACTATTCTGTAGGCTGTCCCGTGCCTCTCTGCCTTTCTTCCAGTCCCAGTTTTGAGTTCAACAGAGGGTGATGGAGAAGAAAGGAAGACTTTGGGTGCCGAGGTGCTCTAGAAGTATCATTTTGAACCGTAAAAGAAATGGGTCTAGGATGCGCTGAATGCGTGAAATTCCAAAATTCTTTTTGAAATCTAACCCTCAAGGTTATGGTATTGAAGTGTTGTTGCTTTGCTTTTGTTTTTAGACCAGAAGGTCACGAGGACAGCACTTCACAAAGGGATTAGTGCCCACAAGAGGCTTGAGAGAGCTTGTTAGTTCCTTTTGTCCCTTCCAAGCTGTGGGTAGGTGTAGAAGGGGCCCCTCAAAAGACCTTTAAGCTAGTGGCACTTTGTTCTTGGATTTTCCAGCCTTTGGAACTGGGAGCAACAAATGCTGTGCTGTTTATCAATTACCTGGTCTAAGGTGTTTTGTTAGCAGCTGCAACCGCCTAAAACAAACTGAGCATGAAAAGTGTGTTTTCTGAAGGAAGCCCTCAGCCAAAGAGGGGAGGCTTGTGAGGACAGGGCAGTTGCTTTATCAGTTCTATTTAGGGGTTCAAGATAAATAATTCACAAAACCAGGGAAGAAAGGCCATTCCCCCTTCTTGTTGTTTCAGGGTGCTTCATTCTTCTGCCAGCACTTCCAGTGGCACAGATGGCCAGGATTTGCCCAGCAAGCAAATCTTCTTCCTCCCAAGCAGGGGGCACTGCCTGGGAGCCATGGGTGGCACAAGAGTTTCTGCTCCCATCTCCTGTGCCCTGGAGCCAAAAAAGGCAAAGGGATAGACAAATGAGATTTTCATCTCCACATAATTAGGAAGAGCTGGAACTGCTTCAGATGAACTTAAGGGGCTCTGCCTGTCCCTGATATCTCTTCTAATGGCCTGCTGCAGTGTCTGAAAGTGCCCCCCACCATTTTTAAGACCAGGTCTTGCTAAGTTATCCAGGCTGGCCTCGAATTTGAAATCCTGGTGCTTATCCTTCCTTCACAGTAGCTGGGATTGCAGATGTGAGCCGCTACACCCCACTGAAACTCTCCACTCTTCAATTCAGTCCCTTGAGACAAATCTTGAACCAGAGGCCTTTGCTACAATGTACATTTGTTGCCCAGGTGCTAATCAGTGCTAACAGGAATGTTCTCTCCCTGGCTCAGTGCTCTAGATGGGCCATTTGATCTCAAAACTCTTTTAGGGGAATTCCAGTCCCCACCAGCCTATAGGTTCCCCATCACCCCAACATTCTCTTTGTGTTCTTTTATAGTCAAGTGCTTCTTCCACTCAATCCCTATGACCACTGGTCTGTTCTCTGTCCTACAGTTTTGCCTTTTCCAGAACATGTTATAAATGGAATCACCAGATATGTAAAACTTTGTAAGACTGGCTTCTGTCACTTGGTATAAAGCCCTGAGTCATTCTTGTAGTCATATGAATAACAGTTCCTTTTTAGTTGTCTTTTAAGGCAGGCTGTTAGAAGATGCTATACAATATATCCATTTACATCCCATTTAGTAACATACATAAGCACATATAGTTGTAGGGAAATGGAGTCATAAACTTCCACCTTGACAGTTACTTGGGACAATAAAACCTAGGATGTAGGCCCTACCAGTGGATGAGGAACTCTAGAAGGAAACTCATTTAGGACCTCCAAAGTTTCCTGTCAATATAAGGCTAAATGTACACTAAAAACCACCATCAAAATAGCAAGAAAATATATCTTAGATGTCATGACTTTAATCAAGTTCTACTCTCCTAGGAAAGCCCGGACAGTACAACTAAGTCTGCTTCAGCCTGACACCAGGATACTATAATCAGCCCTTGAACCTTATCCACCAGCTGTTCATCTTGCTATTAATTCTTTGCATTTTCATTCTCTAGTCTATACCTTGCATGTGCTATTCTCTGCATAGATTGCACTTTCTTAACAAATATTCATTATTCAAGTGCACTAGATACACCTTTCTGAGCCATAGTTAGTTGTTTCCTCGCTTGTACTTCCCCTATTGAACATACTGCATTGTATTGTAATTTCAAATATTAATTTTATCACTGGGTCATGAGCTCATTTTGGGCAGCATCTTTTTTTAACAATAAGCAATTGAGGTGTTTTTTTTTTTTTAAGTGAAAAAGTAGACTTGTTCCTGAAGTAAGAGTTTCACCTTCTTTGTGTAGTTTTTAGTCTCTCTGAAGCTCCATGTAGCTCGGTGGCTCTTTAGCGGCGCAGTAGAGTCACCTCTGGATCTTTTCATACTCTTCCGCGGTTAAGAATCCGCCACGTCTCCAGCCTGGGCCTCTCCAGCAGCACCACGAGAGGCAGGTTGGTGTGTTCAAACCGTTGGGGATTCAGTTCCCGCTGCCCAGTTAAGTACACGTACTACCGTGGGCCCTTCTTTTCTTCCGGTACAAATATGCGCGCAGACCCTCCCTCAGCCATAGCGCAATCTTCAGAACCAAACTCCAAACCTCTCTCCCCAAATCTCAGAATCAAATTCCTGCAAATGGACAGGCGGAAGCGGAGCCAGAAGACTGGATATCGCCTTCGTTGTGCCCAAGGTTAGGGTCGCATTTCCTTCGGACAACTCTATAAATGGAGGGCTGGAGGAATGTGGCATCACACGTGGGCATACTTCAGGGCGACCCTAAGCCTCCCAGGCAGCTGCACCTCTGCCGCTAGGTAGACCACTAGGCGGGCGGGGTCGTGTCAGCCCCGGAGCCTTTCTCCGGCGCGTGCGCTTGCGCGGTCCTACACGTCATCTCTAGGCGCGCCGGCCGCCGGGGCTTCTGGGAATTGGAGTCCCGCGAAGACAGCGCCTTGGTTGGGAGCGCGGCCGCCAGGGCCTTCGCACAGGCGCACTGCTGTCCGACCTGAAGTGGTGCCGTCTTCCCGGTCCCGAGCACTCTGTGCCGGAGGTGAGGGTTGCGGGTCTGTCTGTTCCAGGAGCCAAGTGAGCGCAGCGGCCGAGAGAAGGGGACGCTGGGGGTTTGGGGGAGGCGCTGTAGGAGAGGACGGGGTGGCGCGGGCGGAGCCAGTCTGCAGATGTGTGTGGCCACGTCCCCGCTGGAAAGGTGCGGACGCAAAGTTGTCCCCTGCCGTGTGTGCTGTGGCACTGTTGCCAGCGGTCCTGCGGTGCGCACCCACTGCGCGCCAGATCCTGGACTTTCGGGGTGGAGGTTGCGGGGTCCTCCTCCGCTCTGCGGTCTCTTCTTTCCCTAACGGGGGGCTAATGACCGTGGGTGGGCTTGACACCCAGTCTAGAGTGCCGCCCACCTAGCCCTGCCTCTTTCCCAAAAAGCGCCTTACATTCGTCATTAAATCTCCTGTCCTGAGTTTGTGCCCGAGGGCGCGATCGAGGGGCTGGATTTATGTACGAGGTAGGAATTGGGGGGGGGGGGGGCTGTAAAAGGGGTACCAAAGTGATCGGCAGACTTGAGGGAGACGAATTTTACTGGGGGGCAAATTTGGAGGAATAGCAGGAGACAGAGTGAAGAAGCGTACACGGAGGCCAGAGCACAGGGTGTCCCCCGAGACCCAATAATCAGACCAGATTTTATGGGTCTGACCAGAAGACTGACAGGGATAGTCACTCTAGTGGTCACATTCAGGATTAGAGTGGAAGAGAATAATGGCAGGGTTCCGTTCTGAAGCGAGCAGTTATGGACTTGAATTTTCATGGTGTTAGTGGTAGGGAGAGGGTACGAATGACATTGCAAAAGAGTCTAAAGGGCCTGGTGACTTGATTTGGGAGAAGAGAGAGCGAGGTGTAAGAGTTTGGAGTTGGGACACCTGGGAGGATAATAGAACATCTGATAGAAAAAGCAGGGAGAGGAGTTAATGGGAACTGTGTAGAGGAAGGTGGTTTTCAGCTCATGCCTAATTCAAAACTTGTAGCCATTTGGAAATAAAAGATGAGTTCGGAAAAGGAGTTGATTGGAGTTTGGAACTATCTTTGTAGAGGTGGAAAATAGAGCCCTGGATGTGGGTGAATATCCCCAGGATAGAAAGAAAAACATTGCATAAAGACCAACCTATGGGAATCATCCTTGTTTCTAAGGCAAAGATGCGACAAAGGAGCCAGGAAGACAGAAGTTTCAGAGGTAGGAATAAAAGTGAGACCCAAGCAGCATCAAGGCAGCTACTGTAACTGGTTGAAGAGGCAGAAACTTATCCAGTCAGAAGTTGTAGAGAAGTAAAGAAAAGAAGGAAAAGATCTTTGGAATTCATGCCAGAGTTTTCATTTTGAAGCATGTGGTTTCAGATGTGTGAGAGGCAAGAGTGACTGACAGGGATTTGAGTGGAGTCAATGGTGAAGACATGGAGTCAGAAGGTGAGTTACTCACCCAGGAAGTTGGATCGTGAAGGAAAACCTAAATGAGAACTGTTTTGCTGGAGGGAGGCCATGGGATTCAGCTAGAGGAGGTTTTTATATGCTTGAAGGGGTGAGAAGAAACTTCTAGAGAGCAGGGAGATGCTGGGAAAAGAGAGCCTGCATTAGCAGGTAGCAGATTCTGAGGGAAACAAATGAGAAGGAAAGTTGGACAGTGGGCGTAGTACATAAACTCAAGTCCAGGAGACAGATCTGTCTTGCTGGCCTCAAGCACCTTACAGCCCAGCACATGGCAGATACTTGTTAATAGTTGTTGATAGTGGTATGAATGAATAATGAATGGGTTGGTGATGGGCAGTAGCAGGGTAGAGAACTTTCATTTATTGGAAAAACTGTGTGATAAGTACTCTATATTGTCTCATTTCCTATTTATAATTATTCTGGAGTTAGATAGTATACATCTGGGCCAATGGTTGCCTTAAGTAACTTGCCCAAGGCTTCATGGTTAATACTACTAAACCTGCCTTCCAAGTGCTTTCTACCACATGGTCCTGCCTCCCTCGAAATTTGCTCTTGCACATCTTCAGTATAGTAGAAGACAAAGTTGTGCTGAAGTCGAATGGTAACCGTGGAGGTTTGGAATAGGTATATAGAAGAGAAGACAGGTTTGGAATAGGTACATGGCCAAGATGGGAGTATTAAAAGCTTTTTAGGCAACCACAAGGGTCACTTAAAGATATAGAGTGTGGATTTGAATTTGATACATTTGATACTCCAAAATCCAGGAATAGGAAAAGAGAAAGCAGTAGAGGTGACCCTTTGCTGACAGTGACTCCACGTGAGCTTGGTGTGCTGTGGAGTCCCGAGTTTTCAGCAGGAGCCTACTGAAGCAACTGCTGCTATGGTCCAGACCTGTGGGGAGTGAAGTCTACCTGGGATGATGAGCGCTTTGGGAAGATCTGCTACTTTAACACTTGGGGAGATTTCATGTTGGACACCATTTATGATTTGTTCAATGCTCAGCTTATTAAAATCAGTCTAATAAAATCTTGAAAATTGTCTTTAAGCATTTAAGCATTGAGCAACTCCAACTATAACTTCAGATGTAGTTTTATTTGTTACAAAAAGTTTCAGTGCTTTGGACAACATATACAAATAACTTGTCTTCCAAAATTCTTAATATACTTACACTTAGACCTAAAGCAACAACATAATGTAATTAATATTTTCCATTTTAATTTTTTCTGCCTGCCCAGATGGTCACATCACTTTTAGCTAATGCTAACATTTACTTAGCACATTATTCTCAATGCTTTTTAGGTATCATCCTACTTAAGCATCAAGATAGTTACACACATTGTATCATTAATCCTCTGTTGCAGATTGACAAGCTGAGACAGAAGGTAGGAAACTTTTCTAAGGTCACAGAGGTAGGATGAAGCACAGCTGGAGTTTGATTTCAGGCAATCTGGCACCAGAGCCTGGACTCCTAATGACTGTACTCATCTGTATTTCTAAATATTAATTCAGATGTCTTCGTAGGGCTCAAGAGTCAATATCTGAACACCCTCCTGGACATAGAAGACTCTTAACAGACTAGAAAGGAAAAGAAAACTGTCTTAGTTATAGGCTCTGATTATCATCTGAGGATATATCTTTGTTTATATTTGCATTTATATCACTCTCTGCCTCCTCCTAAGGAGATTCAAACCCCAATCTCTCTTAGGTTCAGATTTTTGTTGTTGTTGTTACACTAAACTCTAAGTCAGATTTTTTTCTTTAAGATTTTGCCTGTCACATAGGTTTCAGTTTCTGCAAACCAGTGTCCACCCTTGAGGTGGCCAGTGTTAACACATTATTAAATAATCCATGTCTGTCTTGCATCTTTTAACTGTATATCATAATGAGGTATTTTCCCAAAAGGATATCTGCTTAGATTATAGACCAATAAACCAGAAAAATCCCCAAACTTATCCAACGATATAATAGAGCCATTTTAGAGTTAGAAGCTAACAGACCAGTAATTTATACATATTGGTCTTGAGTTTTGGCAGTTTTTAAAACTTCATGGTTTCTTGTGAATATCTGGTAATTAGTCATCAAGCTGGATGGCCCATCTCAGGGAGGGAGGATTAAGTCTCCACAATTACTTGGCATGTTTGGATTCGGATTGGCTCGTGGACAGGAGCATAGCTTCCTCTGCCTCACTCTTCTGAGTGGCCCATGTTCTGACCTGTCCTCCCTGTGTGGGACAAGCAGCTTCTGTTTCTGGAATTACTTGGCTTATCCTTGCCCCCTGAGTTCCTTTCTTTCTGCTTACATGAATGAATAAGTGTGTACTACAAGGGTACATCTATTCTCTATGAAAAGTTTTGTAATTGATAGAAAGTACTTTTGATATAACTGAAGACTTAAGCATTGGCTTTATACTATGTCCACTTTTGGTACACTTTATATTAACTTTTCTATACCGAGCTATTTCATTTAGCAATTCCAATATTTGTAATTTAGCCAAGGGGAGCCAAAGTCATCTGAGTTTTGTTATTTCAGGATGTGGGATTGATCCCCAACTGTCCTCAATAGCCATCCCTTCAGCCTACTTCCCTATTGCTCACCTGCACGAATGACATCATTTTCTGCACCGCTGCTCAGATCTGTGACCCAGAAGGCATCACCTTGCTTCCAGGCTATTACCTATTGTTCTTGGTATCTTGTCAATGGTGTCCCTTCTCTCCATTTCTGCTGCCACTGCTTTTGCTCAGCTGCTGATCACTTTTCCTTAATTATCAGTCTCCTCACTGGTCTCCGCCATTCTTGCCTCCTCTAATTCCATCCTGCCACAGCTACTCAGAGTGCCGTGTCCACAAGATCACCCCACATTCACAGATTCACAAGGCCTGGGGACTCAGCCTGTAGCTGTACTTGTGGCTCAGACTGTGACTGCAACCCTGCATGGATACACAGCCCATCATAAGGGAGGACACCCCGGCAGCATCTGGAGGAATCCATGTGTGGCTTTGCTTGTGTTCCCTCCCTCCCATGAGAGGTGACACAAAGCACATCCCTCCCTGACAACAAAACGCAGCAGCTCATTGGAAGCTCAGGGTCCAAGGTTTTTATCAAAGGTTGCTCACAGTGCCCTCTGCCTAACACACACCAGAATTCTAGATCTTCAGCAGGAAAGCATATGTTACCATAAACCAGGTCATTTGCACACAGGGTTTAGGCAGAGTCAACTGTCCTGGGTTCTTAGGGAACTGGGGGACCCTTTCAAAATCAAAGTTCCCTGAGGCTGGCCAGGGACCAGCGTTGTGGGTGGAGCCTTCCAGGGGTAGCACTCCCGGGCTGCTGTCAAGGCTGCATACCCCTCTTCCTTCCTGTTGTTTTCTTGTGCACCAAAGTGAATTTTAAAAAAATCAGGAAATATGAAGAATTGTTAAAGTAAAATAAAAATCCCTCATAATTCCACTTCTCAAATTCCACTTCCATTTCAATGTGTTCTTCCTTTTTCTATACATACGTGCACGCACAAATATCTAATCTCAAGATTGTGCATTCTTCGCTTAATATTTTGTGTATGTTCTTTCCTTCAGTTTTGTTTTGTTTGTACCGGGGGGTTGAACCTAGGGGCAGTTTATCACTGACTTACATCTTCAGTTCCTTTTATTTATTTTTTGGGGTGCCAGGGATCATCTCAGAGGCACTCGACCACTGAGCCCCTTCCCCAGCCCTATTTTTTGTATTTTATTTAGAGACAGAGTCTACATGGAGTTGTTTAGTGCCTTGCTTTTTGCTGAGGCTGGCTTTGAACTCGTGATCCTCCTGTCTCAGCTTCCCGAGCTGCTGGGATTACAGGCGTGTGCCACTGCACCTGGCTTCAGTTTTTTCTTTAAGAAAAAAAAATTGCAGAGGCTGGGGTTGTGGCTTAGGGGTAGGGAGCTCGCCTCACATGTGCTAGACCCTGGGTTTGATCCTCAGCACCACATAAAAATAAATAAGGGAAATAAAGTTACTGTGTCCAATTACAACTAAAAAATAAATATTTTAAAAAATTGCAGGTAAAGTTGATATTTCCTAGAAATCCCTGTGTGTGTATAAGGCTGGGGTGTGCATGCTAGGCAGGTGCTCCAGCACTAAGCTATATTCTCAGGCCCGACCCCAAATTTTACATGAAGCCCTTTTGGGGGTGGGGTGGGATTTATTTTTGGTATTTATGGGGGTCTTAGAACCAACCTACAGATACTGAGAACCAACTGTGTTTCAGGTCTTCACTACAAGTCAGTGATCTTTCTAAAGCATGGTCTGACGGTGATCCCTCCAGGACCCCTGCCTGTGGGCAGGGGTTGTGAAAAGCCCTTGATGTAGGTGGCCTATGCTTCTCCGTCTTTTCCTAGCCCTGCTCACAGTCTAGACTTTTGCTCTTCCAAACGGATTTCAGTTCTTAATCCTTTCCACGTGAAGATCTGCCTCTTTAGTGTTCAATAACTGGAGTTTTTTTCCCTGTTCCCTCCCCACCTCAAAACTGCATAAATTCTGGTTCTACCAGGAGAGCTGCAGTGTCCCCACCCCCTCTCGGGGCTGGTCAGGGGAGCCCTGTGGGGCCTTCACAGTTTTACAGCACTTACCTATCCTGCAGGGAAATGCCTTTTTGTTTCCCTGACCTGAGTTCAGGGCTCTTGGCTCCTGGAGGCAAGGAATGCTCCTTGCACATGTTTTACTTGCTATAAACAGTTGGTGCCAAATAACTGCTGGTTGAGTGGATGAATTAATGACTCACAGGGAGCAGTGACCCTTTCCCTTGACTGCAGGAAAGCTATTGGTGAGCCACAAGCCCACCTTCCCCCATCTTCCCTGGCCTACTGTCTCCCCATTCACCCACCAACTCCAGAAACGCTTCCCAGGGACTCTCAGGGCCTGGTTCAGTCTCCATTAGTGGGTCAGGCTGTCCTTCCCCCCTGCTCCTCGTCCCACTGACATGAACTTTATTCTGCTTGTGCCTCCCACTGCCCGTGGGTTCTTCTTCCTCTGGTTCCATGGCTACTTGGGGACCTTGAGACTCCTTCAACTCATTGCCACATGCTGTCTTGACACTCCCTGGTCACGTTCCCGTGCAAGGATGTCATCTTTTCAGGCTGGATCACTCCTTAGTTTGATACTTGTGTCACCCACCCAGTCATTGTGGCTCCAGGAATGAGATGCAGGGTCACATGGTACAAAATGAGGGCTGCTCCTTCAGCAGGAACTGGAGTGGAGTGTGTTTTCCTTTGGAGAGGTTGTGGGTTTTGCTGGGTGTGTTTCCTGCATACAGTCACTTACAGAATTGTTTATGGTTTTTGTCCAGTGAACACTCAGGGCAGTGTTGGATAAATGACCTCTGAATCTTAATGCTTATTTTTCTCTTTCCACTTTTTTTTTTACTGGTGCATTATAGTTATACATACTGATGGGATTTGTTGTTACATATTTGTTCATGCATACAATATAACAATGGCATTTGACCAATATCTCCCCTGCCCCATCACTCATCACTTCCCTCTTCCTCCCCATCCCCCCATCTCTTGGTCCCTCTCCTCTGCTGATCTACTTTTGATTTTCACTAGATCTCTGCTCCCCCACCTTTCTTTTTTTTTTTTAATATTTATTTATTTTTAGTTTTTTTCGGCAGACACAACATCTTTGTTTGTATGTGGTGCTGAGGATCGAACCCGGGCCGCAAGCATGCCAGGCGAGCGCGCTACCACTTGAGCCACATCCCCAGCCCTCCCCCACCTTTCTTTACCTTTTTTCCTCTTTAGCTTTTGTATGTGAGGGAGAACATAGGGTGCTTGACCTTCTGAATTTGGCTTAATGGTCTCCGGTTTCATCCATTTTCCTGCAAATGACATAATTTCATTTTTCTTATGGCTCAGTAAAACTCCACATTTTATGGTGTATATTCATACCATATTTTCTTCATCCATCTGTTGAGGAACACCTCAATGGTTCCATATTTGGCTGTTGGGAATTCTGCAGTTATAAACACGGACATGCATGTGATCGCTAATTTTTCAGGATAAATACCAAGGAACAGTACAGCTGGGTCATATGGTGGGGTAGCTGGGTCCGTGCCTGTTCTTTTGAGGGTCTTCCATGCTGATTTCCAGTGGTTGTGCTAATGAACAGTCCCCCACAGAGTGAAGTGTTCTTTTTGTGTCCCTCCTCCCCAGTGTTTATTATTACTGGGATTCTTGCCATTCTGACTGCGAGCCTTACCGCTCTCTTGACTCCTGGGTACAGACCTCTTTCCCAAGGAACTTGTGAAAACAAGCACCACATGTAGTCTAACTCGCAGCACCCATGGCCTAGCTCCCACCCAGTGATTGGCCAGGGCTGCTCCTAGCCTAGCTCTACCTTGGCTGCCCTTCTGTGGGTGTTTGAAAGAGGGTGGGGACATGGCCACTGGCACTAGAGAGTCAGGAGGTGACATATCAGGACAGACCTTTCTCATGGCTGCCTTCTCACCCACACCCTGCCTTGTCAGGACTCTGCCCTTTGCTTCTGGGAGTGCACACAGGAGGGAATGGCTGCTGCAGTGCCATCTGCCACGTGCCAGGTAAGGAGGACCTCATGTTTCTTTTCCCAGTGCTGGGGATGAGCCCAGGCCTACACAAGCGCTGTACTCCTGAGATACTTCCTTCGCCGGGGACTTTAGTGTTTCTGGAGTACACTAACAAATCTCCAGAATGTCACCACTTGTCTTTCTCTCTCCTGGAACTTTTGGTCAGCCCCCACCAGGTGGACCAAGCACTCCACAGGGAGGACTTCCCTGAGGTGTCCTTCAATGTCCATCTCTTGTCTCAAGCCTGGTCCCCTTGGACCCGACCCCTGCAGCTGTAGCTCTGAGTGGTCTGTCTAGCAGCTGACAGCTCAGGGCCAAGGGGAAGATTGGGAGCAGTCTTGGCTCTACCCCGCCCGTCCAGGAGTGTATCCACACATGCACTGAGAGTGGGCCCCAATGTTCCAGGGGGTGCTGGGTAGGGTGGGTGCTGTGGACCATGCTGTAGGGCACCTCAGTAAGGCCTCCAGGGTCCCGAAGAGAGTCTTACTGAGTGGAGACATGCAGCTTCCTGTTCAAGGGCGGAGAGTTGTGAATTCTCACTCTGTCCCAGGACTTACAGACACTCATCCAGGCTTCTAAAACCAGGGTAAAGATGCAGGATTGCAACTGGGAACTCTTGTCCTGGGTGACTCGGTGCCTTTTCCAGATACTTCAGAGCCCTGCTTTGTCAGAGCCATGGCCCCATGCCCCGCTACATCCTCCAGGGCTGTCATCTTTATGCCATTTCAGTCTGGCCCAAGTGACAAGAAGGCTCATGAGTAAGGGGGTATGTGATTGTGTTTCAGGGATCTGTGACATTCGAGGACGTGGCTGTGATTTTCACAGATGAAGAGTGGAGGCATCTGGTCCCCGTTCAGAGAGCCCTCTACAAGGCGGTGATGCTGGAGAACTATGAGAGCATCGTCTCGCTGGGTAAGGGGAGCTGCCCACGCTGGTGTGGGGCCGAGGAATCAGTGCATCTCCCCATACCTGCATTCTGAGTCACTGTAGAGAGAATGGAAGAGCTGGAGGACGTGGCTTAGGTGTATGGCAGTGGTGGGCTTCACACTGAGCCCAGCACTGGACAGATGTGCTAGTCAACCACAGGGCCCTTGCTCAGCAACCTGCCCCCACAAAACAGGGAGGGCCAGGGGACAGAGCAGAGTTATCCTGGGGGCAGGGAGCTGGCTCTCCAGAGGGCTGAGTAGAAAAGTTACATGTGCCTGAGTCTTCTCTCAGCTTGCCAGCCAGGTGACACCTTTAGCACTGTCCTAAGGACTAAGCAGTAGGGAAAGGACCATCTTACTAAATGGAGACTTCCCCTCATGAAAACCAATGGGAGGAAAAGAAGTGTCTCCCTTCAAAAGGAGGGGATGTAGGGTGGGGACACAGTGGTTGTGTGTCTGTAGGTCACCAGAGATGTGTTTGATTTTGCGCATTTGCCTTGAGGACTGTCTTAGAGATATGCCCATGGGAGGCACTTTGGAATTATAAAGACTTGTGTGACAGGTGCAATTAAAACCTATTGCTGATGTCAGGTGTTAACGAGAAGTAAAGTGGGGACCCTGTAGATAATGAGAACCTCTCAGCAGCTTCACAAATGTACACTGTACACTGTGCACAGTGGCACACGTCTGTCATCTAGCTACTCAAGAGGCTGAGGCAGGAGGATCACTTGAGCCAGAAGTTCAAGACCAGCCTGGGCAACATAGCAAGACTCCATCCAAATAAAAAAAAAGAATAAGATGCTGAAAAAGCACACAGCTTTAGAAACTGACTGAAAATAAGTACAAGAGGACAGAAAAGGCCTTGGAGATTTCATATAAAGCAGGTCAGAAAAGCAAGCATACACATCCCTCAATTAGCTTCAGCAGGCCGCACAGTGTCCCAACAGAATAAGATGTCCAGGAGGTACCAAGGGAGACTGCTGAGTCTCTGCTACAGGCTGTGGCAGGGTGAAGTATGGAAAGCGTAGAATTCCTTAGGTCAGAATCAAGGAGCCACAGAGGTGGGGCATGGCCATGTTGTCAGCAGAGAATCAGCACCTCGCCAGGTAAAGGGTGCCTGGGACCAGTAAGAAAGCACTCTCTTTCCTGCGGTGGGGCCTTCCCGTGCAAGGGAATCTGGAGCTCAAGCCTATTTTCACCAGGGGATCTGTTTGTTTGTTTTAATATAACTAAAAATGGATAGGTCTGCTGGCAGGGATTGATCCTAGGGAAATAATAGGCTTATGGATTCAGTTATCAGCATGCAGGTGTTCATTGTACCATTGTGTGTTAGTAACAAAACATTAAAAACAGTCTGAAATGTCTGTTAGCAGGTGATTCGTCAGATAAGTTAGGTTAAGCCATACAGTGCAGTATTATAACCATTAAACGGGCTAATTAAAGCCATGTAGCCATTAAATTGCTAATTGAAATAATTTCATTATTAAGTGAAAAAAATCCAGTTTACAAATCAGTATTATTCCATTGTCCAATTTTATCTATGGGTATTTTATTTTATTTCTCTATGGGTACCTTTCGGAATCAAAATGAATAGGAAGAAAATATAAATACAAAGTGCAAAAGGTGATTTTTCTTTTTACTTGTACTTACCTCTGATTTTCCTACAATTAACAATTGACTTGTTTTTAAAAAGCATAATAATAAACGTAAATAAACAAAATGAGCATCTTCCTTACACTTTTCTACCCAAGATGATCCTTCTTTTTTCTCACCTCCCCCAGCCAAGCACCTTCTCCCTACAGTGCCCATGCAGGAAGCTTCCCACTCACTCCACATGAACTCAAGTGGATTGCCAATCCCTCCTTTCTAGAGACTCAGGCCTGACCTCCTCTTAGAGATTCCTCTGCATTGTGCTTTGCATTCTGGCCTTTTGCATCGTCTCTGTGAAAGACCTGGAGGCCAGGAACCAGCTTGGGAGCAGCTGCATGTTCTCATCACATACAACCACCTGGCTTGTTTCTTTCTCCTTGAGCAGGACTTCCAGTTCCTCAATCCGATGTGATTTTTCAGTTGAAGAGAGGGATCGAGCCATGGACAGAGGGTCTTCATGGATCTGAGGACAGAAAGTGTCCAGAGAATGTCTCTCTAGGTAACTGAGTAGGAACGGGTCAGGGCAGTTTTGTTTTCTGTGTTTGTTATTCACGTGGGTGGGAGGAACATTGGGTATCATCTTTGCTCCAAGGTCAGGTCTTCTGCTGCAGTGCTTATTTTGTACCACCTGTCTGCTCTCCCTGGTCTCCTCTACACCTTAGTATTATTCATCTGTATTCACCAGTCACTAATTTTCTCAGCTCTATCACGTTGCCCATTCACACTCTGATATTCCTGGGTCCCTGTCCTCTCCACTTGGCCTACTCTCCTAGTTATCCTAGCAGTGCTCTCAGTGGACATTCTCCTATATTCTCAATGCCTGCTTCCCCACGTTATGCTTCGTTCCCAACTCTCAGGCCTGGAGCATGAGACTCTTTGTGGAAGCAAGCAATGCTGTGCCTCAGAATCATCAGAGTTCCTCTTCTTTCCACTGGAACATTTCCTACCCCAGGGAAGAAACCACATCTGTGTCTTCTCTTTGTTCCAGGCTGGGGGACCAAGCCCAAGATTCAAGATGCTTCAGAAGAAGAGAAACCAGAAGGAACACGGAGGGGAAGCGTTGACAGGCAAAGTCCTCTGTGTCCTAAACTTGAAGTTCAAGCACTGGTTGGTGGGTTGGAAGTGGAGAGGGAAAGGCCCACAGTGGAACCTTGCAAGAAACTGCTGTCCCGGGATCCAAGCTTGCAGCAAGGGTCAGCCCCACCCAAGAAAGCCCTCCCTAGAGAGAGAGACCATGAGTGCAGTGACTGTGGGAAGACCTTCTTCGACCACTCCTCACTTGTGCGCCACCAGAGGACTCACACTGGAGAGAAGCCCTATGACTGTCAGGAGTGTGGGAAAGCCTTCAGTCACAGAAGCAGCCTCAGCAGACACCTGATGTCTCACACCGGGGAGAGCCCCTTCGAGTGCAGTGCATGTGGCAAGGCCTTCTTTGACCGGTCATCCCTCACCGTGCACCAGCGGATTCACACGGGAGAGAAGCCCTTCAAATGCAGCGAGTGTGGGAAAGCCTTCTTTGACCGCTCGTCACTCACTCGACACCAGAGAATTCATACTGGAGAAAGTCCTTATGAGTGTCGTCAGTGTGGGAAGGCCTTTAGCCAGAAAAGCATTCTTACTCGCCATCAGCTCATCCACACAGGCAGGAAGCCCTATGAATGTAATGAGTGTGGAAAAGCCTTCTATGGCGTCTCATCCCTGAACAGACATCAAAAAGCTCACGCGGGGGAGCCGCGCTATCAGTGCAGTGAATGTGGGAAAGCCTTCTTTGACCGCTCCTCCCTTACACAGCATCAGAAGATCCACACTGGAGACAAGCCATACGAATGCGGTGAGTGTGGGAAAGCCTTCAGCCAGAGGTGCCGGCTCACGCGGCATCAGAGAGTTCACACTGGGGAGAAGCCCTTTGAGTGCAGCGTGTGTGGGAAAGTCTTCAGCTCGAAATCTTCAGTTATTCAGCATCAGCGGCGTTACGCAAAACAGGGAATAGATTGAGTTGGGTGGAAGCTTGAGTCTGGCGAAGGAGCACCATACAAATACAAGATAGGCTTCCCCTGTCACAAGCAAACCCACAAATTTGCTCACTCTGCCCACTCCAGATACTGTTCTTCTGCCCTGCCTCTGCCCCCCAGTGTTTGAGTAGCACTCTGTGTCTACTGTGGGATAGGACTGATGTGGGATGCAGACATCAGGAAATGTTGCTGCAGATTCAAATGATGCTGTAGCTCATTGGTAGAGCACTTGCCTAGCAGGCAGAAGACACCATGGATTTGGATTTGATCCCAGCACTACAAACAAGAAGACTTTAAATACCTAGAGGCTGCAACAGGGGAGGAAGGCACCGTTATACCAGAGCAGCACTGTTCTTTCAGAGCAGTTTTTATAACTGTTAGTCCCTCTCTTAGAGCTTTTTTGGGCCCTGACCTTGTTCTCTTCTGCCCCAGATTTTAGATCTCTCAATACTACTACTTGTAGGGAGCACTTATTGAGCACCTATTATGGGGCAAACACTCAGCTAAGAGTTTTACAAGGACTGGATTGATGGATCCTCTCACAGCTCTGAAACAGGTGCTGTTGCTGTGTGCATTTTACAGATGAGCACACTGAAGTTCAGGGAGATTAAATCACATGCCCAAGGTGACACGGCTCCAAAAGGTGAGGCCAGGTCTGCTTTCAGAGTCTGTTTTCTTTACCATTATGCTCTAAGGTTTGTTTTATAATTTACGTACATGTGTTATATCCCCAACTATTTTGTAAGCACTTGGAATGTGACTTACATGTATCTCATGCAGTGCCTTGTGAATAATAGGACCTCAGTAAGTATTTATCAGAATGAATATCAAGTTCTCCATTCAAAACCCCTCTTGGATTCATATCCTTTTCCTCAGTTTTCACAGTCCAGCCCATACCTTTATTGTCCCAGGCTCCCATGACAACAATAGGCACTTCCTAATTCTAGTTTTTCCCTCTATGTGACTGAAGAGTGATATGCTAAGCTGTGCTGCAGTAACAAACAACTCCTAAATGAACAAAGATCTGTGTCACATCCAAACTGAAGTGGGTCAGTCGGTCTCATCCCATCCTCATCATTTAGAATATTCAACCTCCAAAGTCACCATGAAGAGAAAGCTATTAGAACTTAGGAGGTATTTTTAAGCACTAGCATCCAGCACCTGGCAGCTCAGAATGTAAATGGGAACCTTAGTATTTGACTAACTCTAGGGACCACTATCATAATTGCCTATTCAAGACCTAAAATAGCTCCCTATTTAATGGAAACTTCTTTGAACATTTAAGATCTGCCTTAATTCAGTCCCCATTACCAAACTTCATATACTTACTCCAAAACTCTTCTACTCCCTGGGCCCAGCCCTTTATTTCTGTTTTACTGAAGATCAGGTACTAGGCACACTGGATTTGGGGCATCCGTATTCCCTGTTAGGGAGAAGCCTGGGAAAGGATGTGGTTCTGAAAGGCTATGGACTCAGATCCTATGAATCCCAGGGAGCAAGGTGGTTTTCCCCAGAAGTGAAAGATTCAAGAAACTGAATTGCCAAACATACCCCTCCTAACCTACTAACACACTAGTTAATGTTGATCCTCCTTAGAGCAGGTAGGTGGCAAGGAAGACTTCATGTGTGGACTTCTGAAACAACTTGAAGAAAAATGTGTCACAGAATCTGTAGATGTGGATAATAGCTGATACAATTTAACAGTGTCAATCAGAAAATAAAAGGAACAATGAACAAACTTGGCATCTAACTGTCTCAGTGTTCTGAGTCTTTCTTTTACTGTCTTGTTCAAAACACATTGGAAATCATGTACTTCCCAAGATGTTCTGCCACTATCAGCAAGATGAGATTGGAACAAATTCAGAATTTTAGTGGATTTCCCTCTATGTTTCCCCATTCACAGTACAGACCAGGAACAGAGCCTGGGCTGAGGTGTATGTGGTGTAGACTTACTCCGCCTCCTCTTTCTATATAGCCCGTGTAAGAATTCAGCCTGTGGAGATCATCAGGAGGCCTCTCATGACTTTAGAGTACAGTAATAACTAAAACACTGGGGATATAAATTCAATAGTTTGCCCTGTGTTTCATTTTTATCCACTTTTTTTTAAAATGTGTGTCTGGTGTTGGAGATTAGAACCTAGGGCCTTGTGCATGTAGTCTACCAACTAAGCTATATCCCCAGCTCCCTGTGTTCCATTTTAAATGAGGTGATGTGCACAGTGTTTTCTAAAATATGGACTAGTGTTCCATCTGTTGCTAAAAATCGAGGAAAGAGCCATTTTGCCTTTCAATTTATATTCCCCAGTATGACTTACAGTGTTGGAGGCCTTACATTTTAGCTTCACCTACTGGCCATTAGTAGAATCAAATCTTGGAATCAGAAATTGATCAATTGGAAGTAGGTCAGTATTCTTAGATATTAAAATGAAAAGATTGGGTAATGTTTGTAGGGTTTGAACCTAAGACTTTAAAATGGTTTCAAAAAACAAAATAATTATCTCTGGTACCAAACAGGCCTTTCCTAAATTTTAAGAGGGAATTGAGTACTTTACCACTTTACCAAATGAAACAGAGGCACTGCATGCATCAACTCTTCAAATTGAAGGGTTGGCAAAGCTAGAGAAGTTGGAGATGAGATGTGTCACTCAGCTTTCTGTCACTTTAACAAATGCCTAAGCTAACACCTTAGAAAAGGTTTATTTTGTCTCATGGTTTTGGAGGCTTTAGTCCATGATCAATTGGCCCCATCACTTTGGGCCTGTGGCAGGTCAGCACACCAGGGCAGAAGGGCATGGTGGAGCAAAACCACTCACTTCCTGTCTGGGATAAGAGAGAGGGAGGATGGGATCCCACAGTGCCCCTTGAAGGAATGCCCCATTGACCTGAAGACCTTCCACTGGGCCCCACCTCTTGCAATTTCCAGCACCTTCCAACAGGACCAAGCTATGAGCTTTTGGGACAACCCAGATTCAAACCGTAGCAGAATATGGTAGATGGAGAAAACCTGGGACCTGCAGCCTGGGACAGGCAATTGGTAGGACCACCAACTGCAGAAATTGATCTGGGGTATCAGGATGATTGGCAAGAGGGTTGGCCAGCCCAGACGCACCCACCCTCTCATTCTACCTAGGCCTAGGCATCTAAGAATAAGTTAACCCCCTCAGCAAATCTTACATAATAAATAGCACAGAGCTAAAGAAGGCTGCCAGGTACCGGCCATCAGACAATGTCAGTATGTTCATTTTCAATAAGAAGTCAGAACAAAGAGTCCCGAGGAAGCCTACAAGATTGACTGCAATGAATGTCAAGGTCCTAAGTGGTTTGTGTTAGTGAGACAAGATTCCTGTGTAAGCAGGTAGAAGTCAAAGTGGAGTGTAATAGGATAAAAGGGAGCCTCAGAAGAGTTCTATCATGAAATGCGTTTATAAGAGAGGGAATGTTCTGGGGAGATAGATATCTAGCTCATACTGATGGCAGGAGAATGAAGATCACATGGCACCCATGCGGGCGGTTAAGGGCACAGCCCTGGCCCTGGAAAATTAGGCACCCTCACCCTTCAGAACTCAATCCCAGCTCAGTGTGCAGAGACTCAGAGCTCTATTCCCCAGGTTTTAGGTCACTGCTGTCCAATGGTAATAAAGTTCTGTCACATTTTACAAAGTGAAGTTGATGATAATCTTATTCATATTCTATTTCATTTGATATTTGAATTTCAAGTGAAATTTCAAAAATTTTGATTGCAATTTCAACATGAAATCAATATAAAAATATCTTAGCCTTTTAAAGCCCTTATTTTAAAAAAGAAAATGTAAACCATCGTACCTTTCTTTTCTTCCTTTAAACTGTTCTTGAAATCTGGTGAATATTTTACACTTATAGCCTGTCTCAGATTTGGATTAGCCACATTCCAAATGCTCAGTAGCCACACATGGGTAGTGTGGGTTCCATCCAACTTAACATGGGAAGTGGCTACTCTATTGGACAGTACCATTTTGGATAATCTCAGGGAATTTTAGAAGTAAAAGGCAAAGGGGTTATTTTGGCCACTGGAGATGTTAACATGGCAAGTGTGCACCTGCCTGAGGCAGTCTCCTGCTTCCAGGAGGACAAGTGACAGTGGAGTTTAGGCCTGGGAAGCCTGTTGTCACCATCCATCTCTCCTTGTCATCCAGCCACATGCCTGACTCCTTTGTTCTCTCTGAGCTGGATCAGGACTCAAGGGGGAAAGAGATTGTACTTAATGAACTTCTGACACCCTAACAGGGATGTGGAGGAGGAAGTCCATACAGTTGCCAGTTGGTGAAAACAAGAAAGATATCATGTGATTGTTTCACCTTCTTCCAAGCAGGATATTAGGGTCCATTTATGATGATTCCAGGGAGAAGCGAAGATGCTCTATCAGAATGGGCAAATTGTGAAGAGTGAAGAATGCTGGCTAAGTGTGCCCAAGGGAAGCCCACGGCTCTCCCCATCCCAGAACTGTAAGTATAAATCAGTAAGGATGACTATGGCCATGATGATGGAATTAGAGGGCAGGGGGATGATTTTTCCATGATTTATGATTCCTTGGGTTAGCTGGTCAATAAGCCAGATCCTGGAAGTAAAACTGCCATAAATATTACAGAAAAGCTAACAAAGGGGTCCACTGTAGCTGCTTCTAAGCTTCCCCTTGTTTCTACCTTGGAAGATCCTCATAAGTCGCTTCTTGATGGATGGGCCGTCACTTTTCTAGCCAACACATTCTCGATGCTCCTGCAGTCGATCCACTAGAAGTAGTGTTAATTTAACTTCCCTTATTGCTTTTACTCCTCTGCCACTCAGATAGATTTTTGTATTATATTATAATCTGATAAATCAAGATTTAAATAATTAAAATACTGATATTGTTCATTACATTAATAAGTTAGTGTCAGTCAAAAAGAGAAGGGAGGGGAAAAAAAAGCTCACATGTAAGGTTGCCAGGTTGGCCACCGCTGTGGAAAACGAAACCTCTGTCCCACTGGGACCTGGGGAGTCAGGCTAATGAGCCTCAGAATTGTCTGCTTTGATATGGAAGAGGGGGGCATTTGTCTGCCAGCTCCATTCCCCACTTGTCATAAACACCAAGGATTCTGTCACCACTCTTTGCTGAAGATTTGGAGAAACTCCAGAGCAGAAAGGACTCTAGGATGCAGCTGAGATGAGGTGTTATCTGACCACACCTGTACAAGTTGCTTACTTCGGCACATATGGGGTAAAATCTGGATCAAGAGGATCTGTGCATGCACCATGGTGTCCTATGTGAGGGTATAAAAGAAATCTATCTGGGTATACTGAGCTCCAGATGCTTGTGAAATGTCAAAGGATATGTGGAGATGCAGAGTGAGCAGACTAAAGATGAAAAGATGACCTGTCTACCTAGATGATGTCTGAAGCCATGTGAGTGTAGGGGAATAGCTTGGAAAAGAGGGGTAATAAGGAAGAGACAAAGGTCTAGGCAGGCCCGTGAGAAACACCAAGAGTTAAGAACCACGAAATAAGGAAGAGTCATCAAAGGAGAATGAGTAGGAGACAGGGAGGCAAGAGAAGCACCAAGGGACAGTTCTGTCACAGAAGTCAAAAGAAAAGACTTTTAATAAAGAGGAACTAGTCAAAAAGCCCTTAATGATGCCAAGAGACTAAAGAGGACGAAGCCCAAGAAGTGTCCACTGGGGTTTATCAGTGACTTGGATGGTGGTGCCAAAGTCACGTTGGAATGGATTTGGTTAAGAAGTGAGTGGGGAGGGACTGGGGCTGTGGCTCTGCAGTAGAGCACTCTCCTGGCATGTGGCGAGGTGAAAGGTTTGATCCTCAGTACCACATAAAAATAAATAAATAAAACAAAGATATTGTGTCCAACTACAACTAAAAAACAAATGAAAAAAAAAAAAGAACTGAGTGGGGAGTGGAAGGTATAAATGGCACATGTCTATCTATGGTGCACTGTCTTCTAGTTTTGATGGGAAGGAGAGGTATTTGGAGGGTATGAGACTGAGGGAAGGTTTCCCTAAAAAATGGAAGAGCTGTGTAGTCCAGTGGAATGTGATAGAGAGCCCAGAAATAAAGCCTCCATACATGGTCAAGTATTTTTGACAAAGGCTCCAAAACCATTTAATGGGGAAAAGGCAGTCTTTTCAGAACACAATGTTGGGAAAACTGGATATCCACATGTGAAAGAATGACACTGGACCCTTTCTTTATAATTGTATGCAAAAATTAACTCAAATGGTTGAAAGATCTAAATATAAGAGATAAAACTGTAAATCTCTTAGAAGAAAACAGGAAAAGCTTCATGATATAGGATTTGGCTATGATTTCTTCAACATGGCACTGAAAGCCCGGGGAACAAGAAAAAAATAAATTGTATTACATCAAAATTATAACTTCCATTCATCAAAGGACACCATCTATACAATGAAAACCAAACCTCAGAGTAAGTAAAAATAATTGCAAAGTATCTCATAAGGAGTTAATACACAAAATATGGAAATCTTACAACTCAACAACAAAATAACCCCAGGGGGTTTTCAAGATGGTGGAATAGAAAGGGTCACCTTCTATTGGAACCTTCTTGGCTCCTCGGTGGTATGAAACCAAGAAAGCAGATTGGCCGATTCTCAGGAAGGTGGGTCAACAACAACAACAACAATAAAAAAAGTCAGAGGACCTTACTGGAATTTAATACTGAACATTCAAAACAGATCGGGGACCTAGGAGGTTGGATATCATAATATAAGGAAGAGATCTCCATTGCCAGAGCAGTCCCTCCACAGGCAAAGTGCAGGGATAAGGAAATTAAAGGAACCCTCATTTTTAGGAGGCCTAAAACTGTCTGGGTAAGGGGAGTTTAGAGAACAAAAACACTACCTGACTAAACTGAAAGGTGTGCTGCACAACATCCTTGTGCAGGAAGGAAGTCCCATCTCCCATGATCGCACGTGGAGTTCAGAGGAAAGAACCACTTTGCAGCTGCAGCATGGGAACTGGCAGCTGGGGA